ATGTTCTTAGCTTAGTGCACTTTACAACTTCGATACATTGTGTACAATTTCAGGTTTGGGTGACGCCTAAATTAGAATTCTTTTGTTAGGTTTGACCTTTGGGGGACGCCTAAATTAGAGGGACGCCTAAATTAGAGTACATACGGTACTTCTGAATTTCATTCAGTAATCTGTTGGATAAGATTTCTCATGATCTGCGTAAACTTTAAATTTGATTTTTGAGCTTCTGTTGGATAAATTTCTGTACATAATCCAAAGCCCCTATAATTCCTGCATTGGTCAGTGAGAGGTTTTCAAATCGTACGAATTAGGATTGCAACTTCAATAATCGACTGAAATTAACAACTTTGCTCAAACTACTTGGAGGGTGATCTGTTCTAGAAATGTGTTAACATTTATTGGTCTTTCTTATTAATTGCAGAGGAACTTGAAGATGCAATCAAACGTCACAGTTCTATGGGTGATCTGTACCTTCCATCGGAGAATCCCAGTAGACATGCCTCTATTAAATCGCGTCCTACGACACCACGGCGCAGCCAAGCCGAAATGTACGAAATATTTGAGCGACAAGGGTCAATAGGTTATTCTCAAAATTCCCAAAATCCAAGCGGACCAAGAGTTATCGTTCCTGAGGGTGTTAAAGCCGCAACGTTGAAGAGGAATTCACAAATTGCTGGAGCTGACGGCGGCTCTTTGTATTATCAAGAAAATGTACCTAGATCTAATCTTCGAAGTGCATCATCAACGCCCAACTTAGCGTCAGCAATGTATATGAAACGTAGACAATCGTCACCATCGGGGACTGTGCGTTCTGATGGTTATTATCGGCCCGTCATTAGTCGTCCAATATTAATAGATTCAACATCTGAACAAGAGTCTGTGCAGCAAAGTGTTATTGATTACAGAAGACGTAGCTCGTTAACGGATTCTGAGACAACGTCATCACCTGTCTCATCACCGAGAACCCCTGATTCTCCAGCTGTCTACGCTGTTCCATTTAGAGGTTACTCGGACAATGCCGAAGCATCTGTTAGCAGTGCTAGCTCTATGTCATCAACACGAAATACATTCTCGCATCAAAGATCTGCATCTATCAGTAGTTTGAACAAACCTATGGAGCCACCCCCACCACCTCCTTCATCGTCATCGCAAAAAATACCATCCAGTTTTAACCCTGATAACCCAGCGAAACTATATATGTTACCCCCTGCTATAAGCGAGCATGGAATACGTTCAAAACTGAAACAACATCAGCATCAGCGTACCAATAGTTTAACTGATAGAACAAATAATCCAATGCCGGCTAAGCAATCTGTTCACATTCTCCCACAACCTGATTACATTGAGGTAGGAAGGCAACAAAAACTACAGGAAGGTAATGCTGGGACCAAAAAATCTTCAAAAAATTACGCTGCTCCAAAACCCCAGTCTCAAGTGCCTGTTGAGGTGCATGCCTCGTATGACAGTCAGCAATGTATGCAGCACGTAACACTAACACAAACTGATAACGTTGATGCGAGTTCCTTGTCTGTGGCCAAAGCGCGAGCAGCACTTGATAAAAATCATCCGCCACCTGAGCGGAGAAGCTCTGATTCTGTTTTAATCGTGAAAGAGAAAGAAGAACTTGATTCATCTGCTCTGAATCTTGCGTTAAAGGCTCGTGATAAAAGTATTAAAGAAACGCCAAAAAAAGAACTTGTAAAGTCGGTGGATCCTTCAACAGCACTTAGGTTGGCTGTTGAAAAACGTAGAATTGAACTTGAAGCAAAAGATTATAAGGGTGTTGACATCGACAAGAAGATACAAGAAAATAAGTACAGCCAGCCCAAAACAGTGACAAACTCGAGTGCCTCAGTAAATAACACTAAAATGCCAAATGTTTCGAAAACTACAACGACAACGATGAAGTCGGCAAAGGTCCCTGAAAATCCAGCAAACACAGGCGGTGGTGTGAATGACAATATGAAAAGTGAAATACAACTTGCCGCCGCAGCCATGCAAAACCGTCTCGCTACAAAGTCTGTGAAAAAAAGAAACTTCACAATAAATAAAAAAGAGGAAACCTCAAGTGGCACGCAGAAAAAAATTGTGATAATAAATTCTGCTAGTGTTTCTAAAGAGGTCAAAAAACAAAATGAGCTTGAGCAGAAAAAAGCCGACCAGAATGCCAGAGTGAAGGCAAATTTACAGAGTAAAAAAACGGAAAGTCATGAGGAGGCTTTAAAAAGTAGTATTGCACGGAGAGCGGCTGAAATTGAAGAGAAAATGAAAATGAAAAAAATGGCTGAAAAAGATACTCCAGGATTTATTCCCCCACCCCCTGTTGACACAAACACAACTGCAGGCTTTGTCCTGGATGAGGCATTGCCACCTCCATTGGAGTTCTCTACACATGAAGAACCTGAAAGCATTCCAAATATATTTACAAATGAAAAGGGATTAACGAATGAAGAGAGGAATCGAATGAATCACCAGAGGGCCATTGGTCATGAACAGGAAGAGAGTAGACCAGGCTTTAATACGATTCGAAAAAAATTTGAAGCGGGGAAAATAAATAGACCTGTGGTTGATAAAACTTTTAAGGATTCTGATGTAATGTACAGTATCCCTCCACCACCCCTTCCTGATACCACTGACCAGAATGGTATCACCACAGTCAATATTGTTCCACCCCCACCGCCTGTGTCGTTTGACGATAGGACTTATCACTATAAAGGACGTACTCAGCGCGAGCATAGCTTTGACACGGCTAGTACAGTGTCGTCAGTTTCTACATTGTCAACGCTCTCGAGTCTGAGTGCATACTCAGCTGATAATTCTGAAATGTGCGAAACCATCCCGGAGGTTGATTCCGAGAGTGACACTTTGAAATCGCATAAAAGTAGCAGTTCACATCGAACCCTTGTTGGTTATAATCCTGGTAATCACCAAGAGGCACATGAATTGATACGAAGGCAGCGGTTCTTGGATACGGAGCACACCATTCCTGTACCATTTAGATCAAGCCAGGGTGATTTGACGGCAGCTGATTCAAGAACATCAACTCCTCCCCCTCCGTCAGATTTTACAGATACTGCCTACAGTTCAGCTAATAGTGAGACTGGAGGGAGTGAAGATGGTAGAGAGAATTACAGTTTTAACTCAGGTCAGTCCCTCTTACAAATTAAGGTAGTTTGCACCAAATTAATAATGAACATATTACTGCCAATATATGCAATGCATTATGGGAGATAACCTATTGTATACAATGAAATATTAGTATTGAAAAATTGTCGGAAGACCCATTTTTTTTTTTATTTCATGTATTCTACCGACATTACTCTGTTATAATAAGCATGACATTGGTGACATATAATTTGCCTTAAACCACCTTAATTTCCTATGTCATTGAGCCACGTGGCAACTCCAAAAGCACATCATGCCACATGGCAACTCTAAAAGCACATCATGCCACATGGCAACTCCAAAAGCACATCATGCCACATGGCAACTCCAAAAGCACATCATGCCACATGGCAACTCCAAAAGCACATGCCACGTTTGTGACATACACAATAGGTGATTTATTGTTCACTGCATGAACTGAAATTCTGCCATAAAAATCAAATGATTTGAACTTGAACGATATGGTGAACGATAAATTGTCTAGTAATTTAATAGACATCATATTAAAGTACGGATCAACCTTAATATTGTGCTCTAACATGTATTGTTTACACGCATTGGTGATCTTTGTATTGTATGATAATGTGTTTTGTTTAGTCCTGCAGCACTCCTACATTTGACACTCTTAGACGAAACATCTTTTTTAATGGGGCACTTTACTTTCTGGATTAAAATTACAATGGATAACAAAAGATAGATTAACTTTGTAAATAACATAAACAACAGTGTCCCATGATTCTTTGGTGCAATCCCTGGGTTTGGAAGGTTCCCCTTTAACTATATACTTGTCTTACAAAAAATGTCAATAGAATTGTTATTTTTTTTATTTTATCTAATGCGTATTTGTGTTCCAACTTTTATGCTCTGTACTTGTGGGTACAACTACTATTCTAGGGTGTTTAACGTATTTTTTACTTTGAGTTTTTCTTATGAGATGTTTGAACTTTTTCATTTCATATCCTGTAAAAGAGATTTCATTAATTAAAATTTGTACTTGTTTTTAGGTACCCACAGTATTAAATCCTTTTCAAGTCTTAGCAAACCTTTAGATGAGTGGACAGCAGAGGATGTTGGAGATTGGTTGGACAGCATTAATATGGGAGAACACAGAGCAACGTTTGTGGAAAATGAGATTACTGGCGAACACCTTCCAGCGCTGGCAAAAGATGATTATATTGAGCTAGGAGTAATCAGAGTCGGGCATAGAATGACTATTGATAGAGCTCTTAAAAAACTAAAGTGAATTTGATTATTGGAGAAGCGTTGTCTACCACTGTTATGTTTGGATTATATGTAATTAGACAACCAACTATGGAGATCGTTGTGAAGTGAAAGTGTTTTTCTCTTCATAGAAAAGTCACCACTAGAGGGCAATGTTCATGTCACTAGAGGGTGCTGTTTTGTTTTTGCCTTCTCATTTGTTTTCAACGATCATGGACCAATCTTGGTGCTAATTATAATTGAGCAATCTGAGATTTCTATTGCAATTGTCCAATGGTTGAAACATAATCATGTTTTTTTTTGCTTTAATTCTTGTCATAACCAGACTTTCTTTTTATCATGACCATTATTTACAGGGAAGTGGGAGCGAGGATGAAACGGGCGTCTAATGTCAAGTTTTTTAATTCATCCTGGAAAAGTAGTTAAAAACTAATTTCTGAAGAACATCCCAACCATTTCAGCATTTTCATAACTTTTCCAGAGAAAAGAAATGAAAAAAAAATTTCATTTTGAAAATAAAAAAAAGTGTTCAATGATAATTGCCACAAGAGGGCAGTATACAGATCTTACTGGCAATGAAAATAGGATTTATCATTATGTGGTTGCTCGCATATTATTTAACCATTTTTGGGGGAGCAGTATGGACAGTGTTAAAAGCTTTTTCTCGTCTCGGATTTAAATTATATATATATTCTTTATGTTGAGTCTGGCTGGTACCAACATGATACCAGAACTCGACAATCATGAAGTGTTTTATTTTACATTAAGTTATATATATCATGCTGCAGTGTGTATTGATCCTGAGTTTGTTGAAATTGTTGTATAAATAGTCAACCTTATTTATTGAATATTTTCTGTTTATGGTCTGTTAATGTCGTTTGCTTGGAAGTGACTCTTTTGATTGGTCAGTTGATGTAACCTATCATTTATTGCATTCTTTGTTGGTATTGTCTCTGTTAATTCACTTTCAGGTTGTGAATCTTTTGTCTTTACATTGCATGCCCCCATTGCATACTTGAATCGTACATTTCTACCACCTTACTGGGGGACCTACACTTGAGAAAACGCAAATATCTTCGCCTTAACATCTGTTATCGCCTGTCTCTGAGAGGTCTTGAACAAAATAATCTAACAAAAATAAAATTCCCTCAGTGTGTTGTGCTAACATGTGTGATGAAAATAATGTGAGTTGATGATGACAGATATGTGATCGAAGGCAATGTATGCATTATGTAAGGCAATATTAATATGTGACAGCGTTGGCTGAAGCTGTACTTTTCAATGTATACACACTGTATGCAATTGGTTGTCTCCAACGCCAGCAATTGTGAAATGTACACTTTTTCTAATCGGTTATCTGTCGAAACAACTAAACTGCAAAATCAACCTGCTGTGAAAAAGTTTGTGATTGCCGTCACAGGAATATTCTCGGCTAGATTGCATACATCAATTTTTATCACTGATTTACAAGTGTACATTAAGTGGATTGCTGAAATTGTAGTATTTTCAGCTTCTATAAGTCCCCTGTAAAGACAGTAACAAATTGATTTTCACTATTGGTTACCACCAGCATTGTAAGATTGTCAACAAATATGACGGAGACCTCACCAATCGTTTGACAATGTATGACCTGTTTCTTTAAAAAAAAAGAAAGATTGTAAGTTATTTATTATTATTAATGACGATTATGTACATAGTAATTTTGATTTGACGCGATTGGTCCAGGGTCATTATTTTGCAAGCATGTTCGTGAACACGGGTGAATCTTGTACAAAGATTTGAAACAAAGCTATATTATTTATCCGTTGGTATTTTTTTTTTTTTTTTATTTCTCCCAGGATTGTGATATGAATCGCATTTTTTGGTTTATGCTTTTTTAGATGAATAGAGATCAGCGTCTTTATCAGTTTGGTTTGTACCCTAAGCTAATGGTAGCGTCATGCAAATGAGTTGTAAATATATGTAAATTACTTATGAATATTCATGAACTTATGAATATTCATGAGACTTGGAGCATGGCACAACATTAGAATATGTTGATAATAGATAAATGAAATTTAAGATTTTTGTTGAAAATTGCATCAGGGTACACTCCATTAATTTATTGAAATTCAGATTTTTTTTTTTACTTTAAATAAAAAGTACATTTTGTTTGAAATGCTTGATTGGAAAAATATTGATATGTATTTTGTTTGCAAATAAAATTGTATTAGCTTGTATAAGTGTACGTATGTTACAACAAATTTAGGGCATCAGTTGTTGCTTGTGTTCGATGTGTGTCCCATGTACCGGGTAAACACAAAATTAGCTTCAAAAACACTTAAAGCGGGGAAGTCGTCACCTGCGCATGCGTCGGATGGCCATAGCGTGTCATTGTTTACAAACAAGCCATGAACCTTTGCATTTTTAGCTTGTGTTATCGTCGCTTGGGATCTCTCCCCCCACGTGCGCAGGTGACAACCCTCCTCCCCCGATTTAAATTAAATTTATTACAACATACAGGTAGTTGCTCAAGCTGATAGTTTTGTTTTATTTTATTTTATTAAAATGCGTCTTCTGTGAGAAAGCTATGCATTGACCTGAAAAGGTTGAATTTCAGCATTTTCTTTGGTTTAGAAGCAAGGACATTTCTTTTCTCAATTATAAAAAAGATAATTAATATATTCTTCCTAAATTGAACATTATCACTACTGGGTTGTAAGTGAACTACATAAATAAAGAAATTTTTTTTATAACAGAACCATAAAGTGTTGTCTTGTATAACTATTATGGTGCAGCTGATGTGACTGACTGGCTCGGTGTGTTGTATGATGTGGTGATCTGTAGGCATTTAGTTTGATTTCAACCTTGGAACCAATGCACCGCACCGCACCGCACTGCACCGCACCGCACTGCACTGCACCGCACTGCACTGCACAGTGTGTGTTATTACCCACAATCCTATGTGGTTGCTTTGTGAAAGTTTGGTACATTTTATACCAGTACACAGCCATCTGTGGATTTGCTTCATGCATTCTGAAAATGTACAAATTTTTTTTTTCTCCAAATTTCAGTAATATTATGTTTTTTGTTATGTGCTGAAATTGAATAATAGCATATTTTTTGAAATATAGTACATATCTACTGTAGAATACTTTATTTTCGCTTGGAATTAATTTTCTCTGAAGGGATGATTCAGTGAAAATAAAAACTAGCGAATATACCTTTTTTCATATATTTTACATTTAACTTGTCAAAAATCAGTGAAAATAAATCCCATACAAATTAATTCCAGCTAAAGTATTTTACAATATCTTATTTTTTTAAGCCCCTCCCCCTCCCTGTGTTCAAAATATAATATACAGTGCATATTTAAGGTAACCATGGGGTAACAGATTCTTGGTAAATTTGATACATCATGTTCGTGGTTTTTATTCCACATTTCGAAGCTTCAGAAAACTCGATGACATAAAACCAGACCCATTGTCACATCAATCTCTATTAGAGTAGTTTCTAAACTAGACCACCTCTCTACTCGCTCGTTTTCAGAGCTGCGGATTGTCGTACCGTTCCTCTTTATTTACTGCATCGCAGAAAATTTGCAACAAGTTGCATGTTGCAGTAGCTTAGTCGCGTGATGCAGAGCTCTTGATGACATTAACACTACATACACGTAGTCAAATACATCACTGCACATGCGACCTCTGAACCAATGCACCACACAGTGCCTGTTATTACCAACAATCAGATGTGGTTGCTTTGTAATAGTTTGGTACATGTTACCCCAGTTACACAGCCATTTATCTGTCTTATTTTTTTCACCCCCATACAATTTACAGTGTGTATTTAAGGTAACCATGGGGTAAAAGATTCTTGGTGAATTTGATACATCATGTTCATTAGGACACTTTTCAAAACTAGACCACCTCTCTACTCGTTCATTTCCAGAGCTGCGGATTGTCATACTGTTCATCTTCAACTACTGCATCGCAGAAAATTTACAACAAGTTGCATGTTGCAGTAGCTTAGTCTCGTGATACAGAGCTCTTGATGACATTAAATGGTGGTAGTCGTCGCGCCACACATGTGTGATATTTGTGTTGATAAACATTGATTTTCCCACAATACAATGCGCCTTTCTAATGAAATCACAAGTACGAGTTTTGCCCTAGGTACCCCTTGCACTAATTACTACTGGTGACTCCATCAATACCTTCCAAACACCAAAAAAAAAAATACCTAATTAAAGCTTGGTAACCTCTCAGTGTGTGCTAGTTGGTGTGCGCAAGTCAAAATCACCATATTTGTTTACATGAGACCATATCTTGCATACAATACATACACATAGTCAAATCCATCACTGCACTTATGACTTTATCATGAATACACATTGACCTGTGCGTAATACGTGTGCATATAGCAATATGACTCCTTTGTTGAATATAAACTATCCCGGTAGTATGTTTCTTGCCCTGTAACTGTTAGAAGTCAAGTCATATTGGGCATATAGTTCACCATGTCGAATGTTAGTATCGACTTGTTATTATCTCCTGTGTTTGATTTTATTATTAAAAAAATAATTCTCAATACTGCAGTAAACAGAGATTGGATTATCAACTATTTATTATGCATAGCTCTATAAATACATTAACAAAGTTCATGACAAAGTCGCACACAATATAGCCTGATGAGGTCGCGTGAGTTGCGCCCTCCATGATGCTCCAAACCCAACACGACAGAACGATGTAGTTTCTCGCTTTCCCGGACTATTTTTTGTCGGTACCAATCAAATTGCAGGATTGTCAGATAGTGACAGCAATCAAACAGTAACCATTCACTGCAGAGTTTATTTGTTTGTTGACATAATGTGTGATAAGGTGCTGGCAAATTTTCACCTAATGTTTATCATGTTGAAAACAATCTGATTTTTGCCGGCAATGCAAACATGGCTTTGATTGATGGTGTTACCATGACCACCAAAATGAATATTCATTCAAACACATTGCAAGTAGGCGACAAGACATGCACTATTCTGTCAGGCGTTAGTGAGGTCTGATTCTGTTCGGTCAGAGAGGGCGCTAATCACGCCTACTTGTCAGGCTACACACAATTACACCTTCCCTATAACTCTCGCCCTCTATTGGCTAATTGCTTCTACCACGTAGCAGCATAGACCGCTTTCCCGGAAGCCGAAAATACGGATTTTCGCAAGCGTACACGTGCCGGATATGGATGCAACCTGGACATACAATGTTGTGCATCTCAATGTTGTAGTATCAGGTGTAAGAAAGCAATGTTGTTACAAGATTGTGTAGTCTTTCAGAATATATTTCTAAAACAGTTTTCGTGTGCTTTCACGTGATTTACTACAACGAGTCACATTTATGAAAATTGAGATACGCGTTGAATCACAGTCACTCTACTAGTAGAGTTTTCTGCCATCGCACGCTGGCCTAATGGTCCTACATAGAATCATCTTGAGTGGCGATGATATTTTTATTATTCAAAAATAACTATTACGATAAATGAACACTTGAGATTTACTATTAAAACTATCTTTTAATTTCACTGACTGGACAGTAGATTAACCACTAGACCATGTCCGATTTTAAACAGTCAGATCGAAGTTGTCAATGCCTTGTACTGATGTTAGGAAAGGTAATTCATTAAGTGGTAAGTACGACGTCGTTGTATCAATATAGATGTGCAATTTCAACATTATTATTAACAAATATTGTCCAGATTGTCGAAAAACCTAGACAGAAGTTATATTTTTATTTGAACATTATAAGGTTAAACCAGTTTTGTTTATGATATTAAAGTTTCTACATGATTGGCATTATGTTGTAGTAACCAACGTACTACAGAAATCGCAATTTTTGTAATTTTCGCAATTCACGCTCTGTTATTCCTGTTTACAAAATACGTAATTTGCGACTGTGTCTGGCAAATCTCGTAGAAGCACACATTTTGTTAATGACGGACAACGAAAAAACAGACAAAAAACAACAATATGAATGCTGTCAGGGTTATCCATTACGTCAATTTACGTCATAGAGACGACACGATGCCATTATACATTTATCAATGTTTACGGGGTTATTTGGTTGTGCTAGATACAATGGAATACTTTCGTTCCTAAGAATGATGAATGCGTTGAATGTCACACTCCAGGCACTGGCGGCGCTCTCACTCCCGTTCCACTCGTTCCGGTTTTTACAAACGAGAGAAACGGAAGTCAGAGCGCCGCCAGTGTTTGTGGTGTGCTGTATGATATGAATTACTTGTTCATAGAACAATAACGAAGATCGAGTAAATACTAGTAGTACACTTGGTTATCATGTGTGATAACGACAACGTCTAAGGTTACTACGGTAGGCAGCGTCATTTGGGGAATCACAGTTATGCTAAATTACAAAGCCGAGCAAGCGCCACCATCTATGATGGATTCCATTAGTATGATCAGTAATATTTGCCTGTAAAATAAGAATAAAGTAGAAATCAATTAAGCCTTTCCTCCCCCTAGTCAATGAGTCCACCAATCAATCTGCCAGACAGACAGACAGACAGAATCAACCAATCGAGACTCGTGCAATAAAGTGTTGATTATTACTCACCTAGGGGTGACAGGCATAGAATAGTCTGTTTGGGGAGCCATTTACGTCATCTACAACATCCTTCGTGGTATAGTATCCAATTCTATGGGCCACTTCTTCCTGGGTTGATCCTGGAACTTGTGTTTTGACTAGTCCGGCTAGACCTTAAATTCAAATGAATTAAATACAAATAGACGAATTTATCTGGTTTATCACTGCACAGTGAAATAATTTGTCTATATTCCCATACTCTCCATACTATGTAATAGGCATCGATGTAATCTGATTGGTCTGTGCAAGCAGAGTTAACATTTGACAACATATCCCAACATGTTGGTCGTTTTACGCAATATTCCATGAATCATATTAATACGAATATTTTTTAGTAGTTTCAGATTGCATATATTTGAGATGACATTTCAAATTATCCCAACCTTAAATTCATCCGCGCAAAGAAATTGGTTTGCCATTTTTCAGGAATTGTATGTTATGTAATTATGTTACTAAAACATCACAGATACGGTATATATAGTGATAGCTCCAAAAATAACTATATTTATTAATCGCAGTAGAGTAAACTAACTTTTATATTTTATGCAAATGAGCCAGAACACTCTACGATGTATCGATCTCCGCGTTAGAAACTGATAAATTTGTTAAATAGGATATTAAATTCATGATCACATATTTAACATGATAATTGTGATATAACATCCTAAATATATTAAATATAATGCACACGATGGGCCGCTTTACATTGCAGTTGATCAGAGTCTCTCTGCTGACACCTGATTGGTTCACTATGGTGCAATATATCAGATGACGTAATCGTTACCTGAGACAAAGGCTGCCGCCATTGATGTACCGGATGTTGTTACAGTCTCTGTGTCTGACCCAATACCTGCAGTCTCAATATTCACTCCCGGGGCGAAGAAATCGATAGATGGGCCGAAATTAGAATCGGGCGCCCTCTTATCATTTTCGTCAGTAGCTCCAACCACCATCACCTTGAAGGAAGAAACAAGCAAAAAAACACTATATGAATGCGATTAAAGATCACGTTAATTACGAACCTATACATTCCGTTCAGATTATGAAAATAGATTCAAGTTTAGACAATCGTCTTAAGGTAGAAGCCTACACATAAATTAAAATACCCAGTATTTATTCATTTTGCAATAAACTGTACTGCAAGGCAATATAAGAAGCCTTATTTTTGAGAAATTGATGGTTGTATTTTAGTGGAAAGTCGCCATTTTGACACTATTATAATGCTTTTATCATAGGTTCCTATGGCATAGATATTAAGCAATATCTCATAATCTAGCCTGGTGAAATAGGCTGAAAAAATCATATATTGTTAATGATGGAGTACTTTTTGTTGTTCTGAATTATTCTGGGTCTGGGTTTTAAAAATTGCCAACAAATGCGATTTTTCTTAACCATTGCGTTCTATGGAATTGTTCTAAAAATAGTGATTTCAAGAAATATTAAGACACGTTTCTCAAAAACCTTAACTGTAATACAGAAAATAATGCTATTTCACTGTACCATGGGACATTAGCTTCATGATTGCACAAAATAAACTAATGAACATTGTCATGTGATTTATGACCAATTTTGTCAAAAATTATGAGTAGGCTTCTACCTTAAAACAGCACGTATGCACAACTCGCAACAGCTCTGACAAGAGTCTAATTCCTCGTATAATACGAGTAACTCTCGGGGTCGTAAGTGATGTTTACCCTATGCGGACATCTTGTATCTGTGTATCAAATAACGTGATTATACTTCAACATCTCATTGGCTTTTGTATAACAGATCGTTTGCCGATACCACTATATATCGCTGATATTTTTTACTGAAGTACACGTCAGTTTGATTTATCAGTTTGACAACTGTTTGCTTCTCAATTCGCGATATCGATGAATAACACGATTATTGACTTACATGAATAGCACGTAGACTGATTTGTTGACTGCTTTATAACAGCTCTTTTACTGACTATATAAAACATACAAACATTCCGTTTCTAACAAGTTCCTTTAGTTTTGGGGCCAGTAGATTAGAGTTTCTGATCGCCGAGTAGAAATATTCATGCAATATTAACTCACGAACGATGGTCGAGTATGCTTTAGGTCACCAAAACCTCATATTGAAGTCACGTACAATCCGGTGTGACATTACCAGCTATGTATAGTGGTCTATTTATATACACATGTCCGATTACTCGATGGAGCACCAGGTATGCCTCCCTCTATCGGCATACTTTTCATAGGTTTAACCCGGCGCATAATTTATGTATACACACTCATACACTTACATTGTTTAAGTCCTTTCAGCGTTAACTTGGCGTAATAGGTTCGACAGTGAATGAGCTATATATTTAGTATTTCTATCTACCTAGGGATTCCCAATTTCAAGGTATAGTTTTGATTAATAGAAGGAATATCCATCCCAGAATATAGCGCCCAAAACTCGCATTTTAAAGTCAGGTATACTAAAACACTTCTTTACTGTCATAAATATTCATAAGTTGAATATGCTGTGTAACGTTTTCCACATGCAATATCTTAAATATATAAATGTCATGAACAATGTAAAGAAAGCCTGAATTACATCATGCAAAATCATGCAAACGTGACTGGCCGTTATAAACTACAATTACGGTTGCGGAAAGCGTATTTGACGACGCAAATGCGAGTTTTCAAATGGTTCGTCTTTTAGAAAATAGATTATGCATGAACTTACCATACCGGAGTCTGCAGGATAATAATTCCCCGCATCATCATTGTTATTACCCGCAGATGAAACAATAGGAATTCGTTTCTTTAAGACGTTCCGTATTATAAGTTTGCTAAATGCATCTAGGATGTCGGGTGTCACTGAGTTAATCGACAGGTTAATGACCGCAGGTGTCTTGCCATTATTGAACACAAATAACAACCCTTGATAAAAAACAAACATATTACTGAGAATCATTGCAGCAATTAAATATATAACTGGAAGCAGGTTTACCATGGCGATTCTGAGTTACTTAAGAAATAAAGAACTGTGTCCATTATTGCGTTAGAATAATAGCAGAGCAATGACAGGGATGTACGCAAAAACGGTCGAGACACAGACGAGCCCATTATTTAGGCGAACCCCCCCCCCCCATCCAAGCAATGTCATCATAATGGCGAGTACGTGCAATGGTAGTTTGAGGAGGGGAGGCAAGGGGGTAGCTGGTACAGTTTTACGGGAAATAAAAAGGCTTTTTACAATTTACAAGGGGAAAAAAGACGTTTTTACAGTTTACAGTGAAAATTGAATTTTGCAGTGAAATGTGTCATTTAGTCGTTTTACAGTTTCGAAAATGTAATTTCCCTGGATAATACTTTACGACTTTTTTATTTTGGATGTAAATTCTTGTACGTACCGAGAAAAATGACACATTTTTACAGTGTACGAAAAAAATATTTGATTGATTACGTTGTACGTCTAGCCTGTGATTACAGAATTACGGAATTTATTTTTTCAATTTACGTTGTACGAACAAAAAAATATTGCAATTACGTTGAACGAAAATAACCCTTGCCCCCTTCTTTGAGGGAAATCGGCAGCGTAGTTAGCATGTCATAGATAATTGTATGTTAATTATGCATGGAATGGTCACGAGCTAACGACACGTGGAAACACACTCATTGGCACTTTGCCAGATAAATTGATCATGATTTCAAAACGAAAAAAAAAACGATCAATACCATTGCGGGGAAACAGTGGCTAATCCTGTGTCACACTATAATGCAATATACGATACACCTCCTACACCTTATCTAATATGTACAGTGCTGAATGTTTATAGCCCTCTGTTTATACAAAACGTTGCCGATTTACAGTTATTGGGAAATGAACCCTAATTACAAGAAAATAACATTTAGCAAAACAGCCAGGGGAACCCAATACTCGATGTTTCAAATATTTGTAAACATTTTGCTAGTATAGAAGCTAGGGAAGATATATCGATGTGTGCGTCCAATTATTCGTAGAAAGCAAGATATGTGTGACGACCAATGAACATCAAGCACACATGTTTTCATATGCGCATGCGCAAATTTAGCTGTATTGCGTATAGTGGCAATTTTCAATGGTACAACTCACGAGCTCGATACCAGGATAACAATCAGTGCGATAAGATAACGGGATAGACTGGACACGTAATTTATGAATCATGATACAAATGAGACACAAATTGTATTGTCCTCAATTGAGTTACATGTATGTGCACAAAATGGACAACGTCCCCTCTAGCTGTGACAGTGTCTTTCAGTTTCTATTTTTAAATCATGTGCGCACACTTGAAGTCTGGTCATGACATTTCCATGTAAGAAATTATCTGTATTACTTCAATATTTTTTCCGCTAAAAAAATAGTGTAAAAATAATAACAGTTATAGTTGAAAGCAACAAACAATGCAGGGGTTGCAACTCAACCAGTAAATGTTCTCAGCTGGTCTGACAGTTATGTACGCAATAGTTTATAAAATAAAATAATTATAATAACTTTAAATTATACAACCATATGTTTGAGGTTTTAATGGAGTTGTTTGTTTTAGCTTACATGCATTGTTAACCACAGTTAACATTACTGTTCTTCATCAATTATTAAAAAAATATCGGGGTTCATACCTTCAACAACAACAACAACAACAACAACAACAACAACAACAACAACAACAACAGAGGGTACCGCCTTTTATCACTAATCTATTGGTGAAATTTACTATACAAACTAGTAAAACACGTCATATAACATACACGTATTCAAATATTTACAGAAATAAATTAATTGGTTAATATCAGTAAACCCACGATATCCTGTAGTGTATTTAAATTTATGTAACATATAAATAACTTACCATTCCACAAGCCTTTAGAATCGATTACTCCATCTATGTTAGATATTCGAACACTCCATATATAAGCATTCTTGGCGAGGCCGTAATGTTTTACCAGCAGCTACTGCTGCAACCTTAGTTCCATGACCATGTGTATCAAATCCCTGTGAGAAAATAAACATTCGCTAGTTGCATTTTTTTGGTAACATACTAGAGTCAATGCGAAGCTACTTTTTGTCTGATTGGCTACCCAATCCTAACATCTACAAATCAGACCAATCAGAGAGCAGTTTGCATATATGCTTCGGCACGACTGTTGTAGCCTCATCAATCAGGTTAAAAACAATACAATGCAGCTAATCATTAATACATAGAAACTGTTGAACAATCATATATTATTGTAAAATGCTTTATTTTCCATTGAAATTAATTTTCTATTTTTCCGATATTTTACATTCAACTCAGTGAATATCAGTGAATATAAATTCCATAGAAAACAATCAAAAAAGCCTTCAGTCAAAATTAATTCTATCTAAAATGAAGTATTTGACAGTATTTCATCCATGCGTGTATCAACAGTTGCTTATAAAGGTAACGCGATGCCATATTATAAATACCAGCTTTAAATTATATATTGTTACGCGTACATTAATAATATTAGTTAACATTGTATTATTAGTTCTCTGAGATGTATTAAGTCGTAATTGTAATGTTTGATTTGTTTATCCCTTCACATAATTACGGAACATTCAGCAAATTGTTTAATATTGGTTTTTAATATGCAGCAATTTTATTTGAATTCCTACTCTTGCCATCTTTCATGAAATCATTTTCCACATATTGTTTTTTTTTCTGAAAGTTTGAACAACCCCTGTATGTAACTTGATCCACAATTAAAGTAATTAATGCAAACATAACAAAATAAACGAGAAACCCAAAAGAAAAAACAACTATGGGATTCAAAGGGTTTACAAACTATGTGTGTATTTTAATATTCATTTGAAAGATATAAAATATGAAAGAAAAAAATATTTATATATCACCTATAGTAGGTAGCAATAAAATAAGCTACCGTACTTCTTGATTGCGTTGAAAAACTTAACATCTATCTATCTATCTATTATTCCATATATTGGAATTAGCCCATTTATTACTACGCGGCCAATGTTTAAATGTTTATGCTATGATACTATTTTAACATATGTTATACTAGTTTTTCGTTTGTTTTAAAAGTAAGAATGTGATGTTTATCAAGATTCAACTTACATTTTGTTTTTCGGATGCCAAAAAGTCATAGGCAAACGCTGCCCTGCCTCCGAATTCCTCGTGTGAGTAACGAATACCAGTATCAAGTATATAGATATTTGGAGACTCTGAATTATAGATGAGATTCAGTTGTCATCATTATATAATAATAATGTAGTATAATCAATGTAGTGTAGTATAAGTAGTGTAGTGTAGTATAAGTAGTGTAGTGTAGTATAAGTAGTGTAGTGTATATAAGTAGTGTAGTGTATATAAGTAGTATAGTGTAGTGTATATAAGTAGTGTAGTGTAGTGTAGTGTAGTGTAGTGTAGTGTAGTGTAGTGTAGTGTAGTCTGATGTGGTCTGATATTTTGCAGTGTAGTGTAGTGTGATATGGTCTGATGTTGTGCAGTGTAGTGTAGTGTAGTACAGTGCAGTGAACCAAAACAAACAAACACTAGATCAGAAAATCAGGTGGTTGCCATACCTGTCGCCGGACAGATTTTAGTGACTTGGCATCTTGATATTGTGGAATTGCCATCCAGTGTTGTTTCTCGTTGATTAATTCTGTCTTGTCCCCAGTTTTCTGACACAGTGAGTCTGTACACCCCCTGAACAAACAACACTGTAGGAAGTAGGCGGACCTGAAAACGTGATAATCATAATTTTTATTTGGTTGTCCGTCGCCGACTCAAATATCGCCAAGGGTACGAAATCAGGTGGGTAGAGAGATATATGCAAAGTAGTAATTTCAAGACCACTGATTAATCTGTAAAATGTTAATTAAAATGTGATTTGGTTGAATTCCTTCATGGAATAAAAGTTACGTTATCACTGGTCTGCGTTCGCCTATTGCTCGTACTATGTGATCCCTGTCGGTGTTTGAGTGGACATAGAACCTACTGAAGCTAATAACGCTCACTTAGACAACGCCTGGTACCAGAACTAAACAAGTACTTATTAGTTGCGTAACATATATATTATAACAATTCTATTATCGTTTCCACCCTTCATCGTGTACTTTTTCTAGATTAAGTTTATCAGAGAGAAATATACGCCAGATTCAAATAAACTCACCATTTCCATTCTATCGACATCAGTTACTGTCACCACTGCCCACGAGTTGCGGAAGTTGCAATAAATCGTGTCGATTTCAAATCCATCGCCAACAATGGGGGCTAATATATCCTCTACTTGTGGATGAGTGAAATCTTCCTGCATAGAAGCATTGAACAAATTTCAAGCTATATATGTAGTTGTTGACAACGCAAGCACTCAAGCATATACACAGAGCACATACACAGAGCACATGGCGAAATGAACGTTGCATAATAACTGTCTAATTTGGCTAATGGTTGTTAATGATTGTATGTTCATCAAATTTTAGCTAGCTGTAACCTTCAAGGTGCAAGGATTTCGACTAATTGACTTAACATAAGGTATTCATCAATTGCATGACATTTTAAAACGTAATGTTCTCATTTGAGAAACGGTGACCCACCCTTCATGCGGAACCCGTTACTCAAATTGATTCTCGAGCTATACACAATCTAGAATTCAACACTAACACATGTTATATTTTTAAGTCCGGACAAAAAAACATAATGACCCAGATGAAAAATAAAAAAACACAAATATAGAAAAATGCACTTTACATTTTCTATATAATTTTCATTCCCTAAATATTTAACTTTGCATCACTATTATACAGTTCATCATCATCATCATCATCTTCTTCACTAGAAGATTGTGGGTAAAGTATGGTTCCATAGCTACTGTATTGAAAGATTGAGATATGATTTCATCTATAACTTCAAGTAGCAATTAATAATAATAATAATTATAAGATGTTGCTGCTTCCAGTTGTGTTGTCCATGTTGGCTTGAGTTGATCGTCAATTCACAACAGGTTGTAGTGTTGGCAATGTTGTGCACACAGGTGGTTCTCTTGAAATATAGTGTGTAGTATGTGTTACAATAGTAGGGTCTGGATTAGTGGAACAGCTTCAACTGATCGTCTCATCTCGGTGAATAAATACGGCAGGCAATATCAACTTGAGTAATTGAAACTTGAATTACAAACTCACAACTCGACAAATGCACTCACCACTGGAAGTATACATGCTCCCCGTCATGCTACATCACACTGATTAAGAAAGGACAGTATACAAATGTTTACCTCAACAGAGATGGACATATAGGTTTAGCTATATGTCAAGCGAGGCGAAGCAATCTAATCAGTTCACGAATATATCGTGTTCCCCTAACAAATTATTGTCGTAAATCAGGTAAATTGAGGAGGAAGGTACCCGGATGGATGTAGACATACGAATATGGCAGCAGGCCGACACACGATTATGTCTACCTGTAATGCTCAAATCTGATTGGCTGTCATGGTCATGAGGTATAATATTTGGAAATACCATATACCGAATGTGCACTTGCACTAGCTGGCTGGATATGCGCAATTGGAAACTCTGAAATAATTGAGAACACAAATATACCCTGTTACAAACTTACCCAGCACACACATATGTCCACTATACAGTGAAATACATATGAGTGCGAGTAATTGAAAATAATGCACATATACGAAAATATAAATGTTATATTGTATTCATGTGGAATGTGGAATCAAAGATTAATATAATCAGAAAATGATAGCATCTTCTCAAAAACACAAATCTCTAAACTATTGCCAAACACTGAACAGGGAAATCTCTGGACATTCTTCCAACTCTATGAACGCATCTGTAACTTCTAGAAGAAAGTTTTTTAAGTCACTCATGGCGTTTTCGTAACATGATCAGCTAAGGACGATGTTGTGTTGCATCCCATCAATACATGGAACATTGGCAGACACTTGAACGTGTAAGAGTATTGTGTTTGAATGAATGGGCAAAAAGACCTTTTGCTGAATGAGCAACATGCACCATCCATCACTTGTGTTTCAGGTTCTTCTTGTGACCAAGGTGTTATACTAGACACATCGCGTTGTGGAAATATGATAACGTCCTGCCCGTCAGTAGACACGCTTTGATTTCCTTTAGTTTGAATCATCCTCGTTTGATGTGAGCGAAAACTAATCAGCTCTTTCTTGTTATCAGCGAGGCAAGCAATTTCAAGAACTGTGACAAGAGGGAAAATCCACTTTCTAATGCAATTCCTTTCCAGCTCGTGTGGCTAACTAGCAGTAAAATAATCGTCATACAACAATTCTAGTCATTGCACTTGCCATAGCTGCTTTGTTAGATATGTTTGCAGTTGATTCAGCATTATCCTTTGAGACAAATGAAATGAGATCTCCCCTTTCTTCTGCAAATGGGTTAGGCTTTATAAAAATGCTTCCCATCAACTTGTTTTAGATCATGGTCTTCATTGTGTGACGTCTTCCTCGTCATGTATGTTTGCTTAAAGATGTATAGCTTAGATGATCTACTGAAGTCATTGACCTAATGGTAATAACACACGTAGGGGCAATGTATCGATCCAATGAATGGTACAATTAGGTTGAAAACATATTATAAAGTAAAAGAAAAACAAAACAATATAAAATAATAATCTAGTCCTTCGTGACTCGTACTAATGAAATATGTGAAATGTAACGCTATTGGGCTCGATTGTATGTGTGTATGTATTCATTAACATTTCCAGAGTTTCTTTAATTAATATATAATATAAATATGAATAACTTACCGTAAAAATGACGGCGTATTCATCGGGTATATCTCCGTGATACAGCGGAACCATACCACACTCCGTCAGTGATGGGTCTATTTGGCAATATACACCAATAGGTATAACGACAAACAAAATAGAAAACAACATCCTGATTGAACAAAAACAAATCAAAAAATGATTACCATATCTTTCATGAAAATTGCGCCCTCTAGTGATCAATTGATTTTGTGATGTAAAAGCTTGATATGAACACTGCTGACAACATTGATGTTGTTTTGATATGTGGTCTAGTGTTCTTTTGGTTGTTGATATCAGCAAGACTTTGGGACATGAAGTTTTCTCATTCAATATCCTATTTAACATTTGTTACAACCCAACATGCCTATATTGCAATATATTGTGTATTTTGATAAACATCACCACGTGATCACCTTTTTGTATGGAAAATGTCGTATCACAGTGGCGATATATAACCACAACACAAATACAGGAAGGCCATTACAGTTTCTTGGTTTACTAAATGCCATACTTTGTGTTTGACCAGATACACACTACTCTCATTTGTTGAGTGTTAAAAGCACCAGGGTAGAATATATATCATGACTGGCGCTGGATCAGTGCTCTGATCATATCCTCGGGGGCGGAGCTACGTTACTACGTCGCGCACCACTGTACATGCATTTCTATGGGCTCTGTGCGCGCTGCTGTGGAACGCCGGTCGAGCCGGTGAAAATTCGAGAAAACAACACAAACTCAACTTAGAAGTAATCCTGAACAACCAAATTTATATATGTTACACACGTAGGGCTAATCTTGTTACACTGTTCAGAGGAGTCTCAACAATCATCCCAAAATACCGTTTTCTGCGAGTTTTGGGCCTTTGTTTTCACCGCCGTGGGTTGCCAGGCGGTGAAAATGCCCGGATGTCCGCCCCCGAGGATAGGATTTAGACACAATTGGCGTTGTGTGTACACGCACCATTCCATCAACACTACTAGAACAAAATGGCTCTGGCGAAAACTTATAGAAACTAATATCCGATGTTAATAATACAAATAACATCTAGATGTTTGTTTAAACATTATGAATAACATGATTAGATGTCATTACATGGCATAAATATACAACTATTCACATTTCAAAAGCAAAAAAATGCATCCGAAGTTACGATCTTTTATACACACATATTAAGCATCAACATTAACACGGTAGATTTTTTGCAGTGGCTATGAAAGTGACTAACCGAATATCGTAACTATATTTTGTCATTTCAGACATTCCTAATGTTCACTATATTTTACAAACATATGGTATATATAGTTTGAAAACTAAATTTCAGGCAATACTTTGATGCTGGTTATAACACCTTTCTTTTACTGTAAATGATTTTAAATTAAAATTAAAATTAATAAATAAGACATACCTTATACTGGAGGGTAATTAGATCAGTAATAAAAGTCCTACCACGTATTGTCACTGTGCTGGACGATGTGAATTCACACGTCAAATGAGTCGACTTGAAGCAAGATGGTGTCTGGCGATCTTTATCCATATGGCTTGCATTAAAGGCGATTTTTCGTTATTGAGGCTTATTCTAATCTGGTTTTTACCGGTTTTTAAGAATTGTGATGAAATGAAGTCAATTTATTTATGTCATATTTATTCTAAATAATGAAAAACATCAAAATAAAATAATATCTATTGATAGGTGTGCGTGCATCCAATCGAACCTAAATTAGCACATATATCGAACAAGTGTAGATGATACAACACTTTACAATTTACAACCAAAATGCCAAATTTAATAAACATGATACCCGTCGGCTACTAAACATTCGATTGCTATAAATGCGACATAGCTAGTAGGCTAAAATGGCTTCAGGACAAAGCCGAACACGCACGATACTTAATAAGTATGTTTATTAATAATTGACATACTGAATGACGAACAAACAACTGTTCATATATGAATGAGAGTTACATTGTTATCACCCTGCCGTGTACGCACGTGATTTGTGATCAAAGTAGTAACATACACATATGATAACAATACGTTTTATGCCAACTTTTACCGTTGTGTTGCGACCTAACTTTATCAAGATAATCATTGGAATACTGTAGAATACAACGATCTTCTCTATTAAGTCTTCCTCATATTAATATTTCACCACATTAGATAAGGTTTAATTATAAATTATTATTGTGACTATTTTTGTTGATTTGTGTACACATCCAACATACTAGTATCTATTTTACGTATGTCTGTACTTGATACACGAGAGCTATAGTGTAGATGCATTGTGTTGCAGTATTTCATCAGGTATTTAAACAGCGCCGAGGCGCTAGGCCGAGTGTTCGAGTTCAAATCTTGTGTTGTTATGACAATGCCTGCCTGTAATTACATACCCATATATATTGGGTTTGTTACATGACAATCTTTGTGAAAACGTATTGCCCGTTATCGAGTAATAACCCCAATATCACACATGGTTTCGCACGTTTACAAAGATATTTACTCGGCAGGTGTCATCTCTTGTTGGACTTATGTGTGAACTGTACTGTTGAGTGATACACTTCCGATTTGAGGAAACCGTCATGTGTTATACGGGAAATACATGATATGTTGACCAGCTGCAGGACGCATTATAACGGCCAATAACGCAGTTCAAAACGTAACATTGTTTGAAAAAAATGCGATAGTTTGCACTCTTCAATATTTGTTTTTTTATGTTTGATTAGTGTTCTTATTTGCCATGTGAAAAATTAACAGTTGTGTGAACAACATTGTTGGTCGAAACAATGTATGTATTATTTTTTTTACATTCGATTATAAACGTGTTTTAGAAGTAACCAACTTAATCTTCGACCAGGAATTAACCTGTTTCGGTGAGTATTTTGTAACGATGAATTGTTTTTGTACTGTCGAATGAACTCATTTGGCAGATATGGGATATGTGCAATTATATACCGGCCAAGTGATTGGCAGCATTTTTAGCCAATCGGTGACCGCGTTGCAGCTGGTGATTTCTTGCATTAATAAGAGACATGCCATAATGTTACTGACATTAATTCCCAATTACGAAGTCAAAAGCAGGGGTTATTTTAAGCAGATCCTGGATTCTGTCAGTTTCAGCAGATGATGGGAATTAGAGAATGATTTGTGGATGAGGAAATATCAGTTCGTGTACGCTGCGCCTATTAACGGCCTTTTGTTCCGTAGTGTTTCATACCCGTGTTGATAGGGCCGATTCTAAATACAATGTGTTGTGGTAGGAAATTGATTTAGGCCATGCACGTATAACAGGCGAAGACCTTTTGGTAACATCTAGAACCCAATGCACTCCAAGAATGCAAACTTTTGCTGCAAAGTGCTTACCCCTTTTGAAAATTGCAAAGAACTTTTCAAAATCGCTGCCTCCATGGCAGGATGATTTGGGTCTCTCTCGAAATCGAATTGTTCTTGTTGACAATTTGTTGTGTATTTATCTTATTAATTAATTAAGTGTGTTTAACAATTATTTTTTAACGGAAAACAACCAATGCCACTTCTTGATTTTGGCAAGCTAACAATTCCAACTTCACCTTATAAACGTAGAACCAGAATGATGGCATCAGATACATTCTAGTAATACATAGCATTTGGCAGATGAAGTATAACATTAACGCGTTGCAGTAAAATTAATTACAAATTATAACACACCGAATGTATTTTTATATTTAGTTGCAACGTCCTTACTCTATATTTTACTCTTTCTTATCAATATGTTTTTAGAAACTGACATGTCAATTGTTTTACTGTTTCCCTTTCACGCACATGCGCACATACTATCCTGAAGTAAATGCGGCATACACAATAACAATTGAAGAATTTAAGAATGAATTCCACACCGACACACATATACACTAACATGAATACTCGTGTTATGGTTTATTAATCTCCGTGTGATAATGAACTCAATACAGCCGCCGAGATCACGCTGGGAGCGAGAAAACCACGCGACTTGATTTGCCCTAAATATTTTTTTTTAATCTCTACCGTCATGGTGGTTACTTTTCAGCTGGCCTATTTAGCAATGGTATTTGGAACAGTGGACGCGATGTAGTATGGAATTGCGTATGATGACACCATTATTTCAGTTTTTGACATGGAGATCTCATACATTATTTTCCCATATTCACCTTAAAAAAGTGGAAATTGCATTGTATAAACGTTGGGTATTGACATTCTATTTTTTTAGTTATTAACATTTCATAACGCTCTGTACATTTATTAGAATACTCGCAACAGCTCAACAGCCGTGATTATTCATTAACATATATCGCCACTAAAGTATACTCCCACACACTCAAAGCGTCATGAATATTCAAGAATTCAATAAAGACTATTCGTCTGAAATGAGAATAAATAGTGGTTGGAAATTGCACACACTCACACACCAAGCAATATACTTTTGTACGGCTAAATAAATGAATATGTATGGATATATTTAGTACAACTCGGGTTACCATATGGTGTTCACAGTAAATCAGACAACCTATAACGCAGTACGACGACAATAACCAAACAGAAAGTGTTCGAGCTTGTCTGTGGATATTCGTTTTATATTGGAAAACAAATAATCTAAAATCTTTCTGTTTTGTCTAACTTAAATCAATTAAATACACAGCTATTACTTACTCTTCAATAATATTCGGATTTGCTCTAATTAATTTAAATAGCCTGAATATTCTCTGGTTTACAGTTAGCGATTATGCAAATGAAACAAGACGCTCGCCTTGTCGTTACATCGCCACTAAAAGTGACAATATAAACACGAGTTTTAATCGTTGAACACACTCTATCACTTGTAATATACTGTGCGTGTGAAGAATTGTTAATGGAATGTGCGACATTACCTTCATTATTTCTCTGGCAATTATTCACATCTTAGTCGTGATGAACAGTCTTTTTTTTTGAGAATATTAAAACATTACACTTACCGTGATAACACATTTGTATATTAAATTATGTGAACGGTGTCAATAAAATTATACAATGATCATTTCTAATCCGTGTAATATATGCGGGTGCACGTCATATTTGATTATTGAATGTGCACATTTTTTTATCCACGCCTGGCAACTAACGACCCACAGGCCATCTTTGGTATAGTGTTTTCGTTTCTTGTTTAACCAAACAAATTACAGAAATTGGAAGTAGAAATTCAACAATACAGTATCATAGATTCTGTGTCGCAAATTTAGCGGATAACTGTAACTGCCCGTCTTCGAGAGTGTGAAGAGTGTGTTTGGGTTTACCGAAAAAGGAAAATAAATAATAAATTACGTTACCATGTGTACCACGTGCTTGCTTTCTGAGCCGCTTAAAAGATCTACTTTTGTGCAAACAACAGACAAATAGAATGTCTACCCACAAGTCGTAGAAATTGTATGACGCATATTAACCTAAGCAGTATCGTTTTAATTTTTTTCGTTTTCCATCAATACACACAATACACAAATACAAATCCACCAACAATTATTGAGATTTCTATTTTATTTGTACAGAACTGACCTGTGAATAGTACAATGGATTACTATCGAGTACAATACATTGTCATAACAACAATAATGTACGTTTTCATGTGGTATTGTTAATGAGTTGCTATGGGGACAATATAAAGCCATATAGTGCATTTACGTGTACGGTGTCTGGTAATATGGAATCTTAAATTAGCGTTATAGATGATTACGTCATGAAGAATACATCCCACAAAAGAACGTGATAATATTTTATGAACAGAACGAAGAATTATATTTCATGTGCATCACTAATTAAGAAAGAACACTGTTCTAGTGAAGATAATCTGTGAAAACAAAAAGAGCATGTTGATAAATTATAGAATGATAATGTTCAACGTCTTCTGAAAGAAACTGTTTAACCATTGTCACATATCACTTGTCAATGTCAATGTCATTTTCGTTAACACCAGTAACATTTATGATGCTCAGTTTGAAGGAGGGAAAATGCAAAATGTTATTTCGGTTATTAATCTATTTCACGCTCACCTAGGGATGACACCCGTAAAATAGCCTATTAGGGGTACCGGCGGCATCAACTACAACATCTTTAGTGGCAAAGTAGTTCATTTTGAAAAGCACTTCTTCTGCGGTGGCTCCTGGAACTTGAGTCTTGATCCGTGACGCAATTCCTTCAGTGTAATCAGTAATAGCGAGTTAGTAGTGAGATAACACAAATATTGGTATTATAGATATATGTAATACGCTGACAGGCATATGACGCAAATGTAAAGACGCAGCACATAAGATTCTGCCTTCACGAATCAACTTATTGTATCTTTTGATACTTACCCGTAACGTACGGAGTTGACATCGACGTCCCAGATTTGGTTACCACCTCTGTATCGGATCCTATTCCAGCACTTTCAATATCCACCCCTGGGGCGAATAAGTTAACATATTCTCCGACATTGGAAAAGGTTGCCCTGACATCGTTACTATCCGTTGCTCCAACCACCGTCACCTTGAGATAAGTAAAAAAACAAACGTAAATTGTTTTAAAAAAAATCCCCACATTTGGCACACTACAGTTTATCAAACCATAGCAAATGTCACGATTATGTAGATCTACGCAAATGAATTGTTAACCAATTCGATTCCACGTGTAAATGAAGAATTAGGTGAGTTGCCGTAACCTTGCCTTTGTAGTTTTCTCCTGTGTCTCGCCTTTCCTCTATAGCGTACATAAACTACGGTGTTCCGTATTTTAGGTACAAAGCTATTATGGCATTGTCATTTATGCTTGTTTAAATGCATTAATGCCATCTGTATTAAGACCATAATGACTCAAATTGATATACGATGGGTGTCATATACAAGTTGACAGGAGGCGGTGGATGTACTCAATCTTCCAATATATATGACACTACCAAGGATGCATAAGTTAACGATATACAAATTTGATATCTATATATAGTGATATGTAATGCAGATCTTAAAGCGGCCATAGCGTTTACAAACACGTGTTTACCCATGAGCCTTTGCGTTTTTTATCGCGCGTTATCATCGTCGCTTGGGATTCAATTCCTGCGCGTGCGCAGGTAACGACCCATCCGCTTTAAGATCTTGCGGGTTCAATACGCGCGCGTCAATGCGGAAATACTGAGTATGCAAATCAACGATTGTCTGATATTTTACGTCAATGATATAAGTGGTGAATATGGACACGCCAATCAAATAAGATGGTAATGAACTTACAATATTAGAATTAGCTGGCCAATAGTCTCCCGCGTCACTGTCCTTATTTCCCGCAGCAACGATGACGGGAATCCTATCACGGTTCTGAATATTACGTATAATTAAAGTACCAAACTTATCTAGTAATGAGGACGCTGATACGATAGACAAATTGATGACGGCGGGTAATTGTCCATCGTTGAAAACGCTAAGTAATCCTGCAAGAGAACGCGATTATAGGTGGGTGTTATAGCAGCACCGGAAATGACAGCATACACTGTTCGGTTCAATTGTAATCTGAAGTTTACTAGTAGTGCGTAAGTGCAGAACAATAAGAAATATTTGGATGAGTGAAAGTTCGTTTTGGAAGCGGAGGTTTCAGAAGAATGGAAACCAGATAACCACATAGTCGTATTTCAGAGAAGAAATATACAAGCACAGAAAACACATATACTGATTAACTTGCAATTGACATAAAATCTGTTACACAAAAACAATAAATGTATAACTCATTTGGTGGAAAATACCAGCACGGCAAATGTATGACTATGATGTGTATCATATTATTTTCAAGCGATTGTTGATTATGATCACGAATTCAACACTACCCCTGTATATCGATAACACTCACCATGCCAAATTCCTTTAGACGTTGCTACGCCATCCTTATTAAATATGCGAACACTCCAGAGATTCGCATTTTTAGAAACGCCGAACGTCTTCCCACCGGCTATGCCAGCCACGTGAGTACCATGGCCTTCAATGTCAATTCCCTGTGAAATGGACATACGCAATTAATAAGCATCATATTGAATGTGTCCTTTCAGAACTTCATATGCATTCATTCGTGCACTTTATAGTCAAAATAAACAACTGACGTCAAAAATCAAACTGCATTGTAATAGGAGAGGTGTCATGAACAAACTGTGTTGTTTTTTACTTCGATAAAGATATATGTAAGTGCATTTGCGCTAATACTGTTATGTATTTCTTCATCTGAGTAAGATGTAGTATATCAACATGCTTGATATATTATTGTTGTTGCGCGTGAACCAATCAATTATAAAATGCGAATTTGTACTTTGAAATCAATTTGCGTGTAAACAAAGAATGACATCCAACGCCAGCTTGTTGTGTCTTTGTTGAAACAACGTAATATAATTTCATAACGTGTAGAATAACCGCTCTATGATATCCGCGAAATCGAAATCCCTTAGATAAACACGAACAATAATTATTCGTTTTTCTTATACATATATCGGGGTTATACACTAGGACGTCAACTAAAGTATGTTTTTTTAAGATCAGTAGTTCTGATACGAGATTATTTTGGTGATTTATTAGATAATTTTCAAATGATTGACCTTGGCATGTATTTGAAATTTGAAATGACTTTTTTAAATATACACGGCTTAACATTACATACATCTGAAACCACCAAAATGGTGTTAAATGTTCGACTTGCTTGGCATTAACAGATCAATTAGATTTGCATTACGCTGTTTCATTCCACTGAACTGTCGCGTTATGTGAGACGAAAGACTTTTTTATAACTCTCGTAAAAGAAACAATTTGTTAAAAGGGGAGATGTCAACATTTCTGGAGATGGACAACTCTAAACTAGTGCATGTTGATAACAAAGAAGACATCTCTTTATTCAGCTCCCCAGAATATGACAGCGTATGCTTTTTACTGGTGGTCTCTTGTAGCTTTTTTTGTTGTGTGCGTATTCTCCTCTAATAGTTGGGCTCCTTATAACCAATGTAAATACAAAGCAGCAAATCTGCTTTAAAAATGCAATATGAACGGAAACACACATTTTTTTTCAATATTGTGTTGATACTGCATGCCGATGAACACTCAGGATTTTGATTTATCGTAAACTGGAAGTTTGCAACATGTAGAGCTATAAAATTATATTCGAGATCTTTTGTTTTCGATCATAATGCAGTAACAAGTTAATTGATATTTGCAATTTCACGATTATACATTTGCTAGAATCTTAGACGTAAATGGCCGCCCAATTCGCGCCGAGAACGAGAGAATCACAGGACTTGTTTTTTGACTTACGAATAATGTTGTCTTTTGTCGTCACGTTCAATGTGTCCAGGATCTATGTAACAATTGTATTAGGAGTACTGGGCGCGGTGACGAAGGAGAATGTAACACTATTTGATGAGTGAACATAAGTCACGTGACTCTCCCGCTTCCAACAAATCCTCTACTTACATTGTAACCTTCGTCTGGGAAGTGGTCATAGTGAGGTTTCGCCCTTCCTTCGAATTCCTCGTGTGTGTAGAGAATTCCAGTATCAATCAAATAAATATTAGGAGCATCTACAATAAAATGATATGTATTGTTTTCATTATCTACGAAAAATCATATAATAAAACGTTGATAATAATAGTGAATAAATTACCAAATGGGTGGTATACTGTCAATACTTGTACATATCCCCTCCCATTCAAATTTGTGTTACATTCATATATTTATTATCGAACTAGTTTAATGAAAGTATCATATTTCAATCGCAAAATTATTATTTTGTTGTAAAACGTGTGAAATTTATTCACAGTGTGGTTACATGTGAATGTCCTTGAATATTTCACCACGTGGACAAATAGTTCCACTATTACGTCAACAAAAACACAGATGATATTGCATGCAATAATTGCTCGCTGCAACAAGTCGTTCGTTCATAATTGAGAATGTGTTACCCATTTATGTCACTAAAATGCGTCGTCGCGGGAGGGCTGGAACAGGAAAGGTAACTTGCATATATTGTGTACACTAATGGGCCCTCATATGTCATATGGTAGAATTAATTTGTTATCAGCCTACTAGGACTTTATAGTAAATTCCGTCGATGAATAGCGTATGGTTATAATTTACTGATGAAATAAGTACAAATGTGAATATTAATAATAAAATGTTGTTGGCGTTAATTCTAGTTGGTGACAAGTACAGGAACATCAGGGTACCTTTTAAAAAACGTACGCGTTTACGAACGCATCCTTGTACACATACAATTCATTTTAAGTACGGGTATAGATTCAAGGCATTGAACGCAATGGCGTGAGTTTAAAACAGTAACAACATGAATACATTAACTCGGTTAGTGGACAGATCACGTACATTAAATATTCGACTAAAATATCGAAGGCGGGAAATGTGTTTGCCTTGCCTGTCGCGCGTCATATAATTACAAAATCGCAGTTGTCGTACAGCGCGATAAACGTTCGCCACGCAGCGCGCGTTCGAATTAAAAAAAACAAAACAATGTATTTACGCGCATTGTATACGTCGCATAGAAACAAACATCTTCGCGATGACAGAGGCGCTATGATTCATTTGACCAATTTCAGTTATGCTTCAAGGTATAAAATATATAATAATCTAACCATTATTACACAAAAAAATGTAGCGTAGCTCTTTCAATGAAACATTGCAGTGGAATTCTTCTCCACAAGCGCTGACTGACAAACACATTAGGAATACGTCATCCCAAGTCGTTACATAGATTATACCAATAATCAGCAATAGTTGCCTTACCCAACGCAGTGCAAACTTTTGTCACTACGCATCTTGGGGTTAGGTAATCACTATCCAGTGGTAGCAATCTCTGATTAATTCTGTCCAGACCCCAGTTTTCAGCCAATGCTACACCGTACACTCCCTGAACAAACTGCACTGAAGATAACGCGCGGACCTGAAACGGAAACATATTTACTGGAGTATTTGCATATATTTGTTTATATACAAAAGATAATGTAACTGTAAAGCAAGAGTACAAAGTCTGATCAGAGATAAAACGACGTAACGCGAACTGCTCCGGGAACGACAACTGACGAATAACACTTGACTGTGAAGTAAATATCACTAATTGATGGATGGTGTCCATGACCTTAGCATTTGTGACGCAACTGATCACTAAAACATTAAAATGTGTGATAATAATGTTGTTTTTGTTGCAATATTAAAAATATCAGCTCAGACCTTTTTCACATACAGCTGTATCTTTTTACTGGAGAACTTGATGTTCTTATCCACTGGGCAAACATCCCACAATGTAGCTGACCTCCAAAACAAGCCAAGACTCCTAACTTAGTAAATGTATCTTTTTACAAGCATAATTTACTTTAAGGGAATCGCCTAAATTCATATTCTGCAGTAAATTTCTCATTACTCATCTACATTTTCAAAAATGTATGGTGTATATATTGAACAGTGGGTGGTACTTCACAATATGAATACATATTGTATTTGTATTCCTAGAATGAACACGCACTGTTAACTTAATTATCATTAATGATATATAAAAACATAACTTACCAGTTCCATTCGTTCTACACTACTGATGGTAACTTCAGCCCACGACACAACAAAGTTGCAATTAATTTTCTCAATAACTAATCCAGGGCCAACCACGCCGCCTAAGATGGCCTGGACCTCTGATAAAGTAAATGCCTCCTATACGATAATGAATAGCAAGTTGTATGTCAGTACAAGTAAAGGAAACACGTAACGGGTTTACAGTTAAAACAATTGCTGAATTCGAAAACACAATTATGACATCGCACATTGAATAAATAATATAGAAAACACATTTTTATACACGTTGTTTGTATATATACTTCATACGTTGATTGAAGCTAATATGCTAAAATCTGGATATTCTATTCCAGAATTGACAAAAGGAAAAAAAAATATGCACTCATCCATGTGAATGTCAAGTACAAATTATTTATATAATAAATAAATAATTCCAAATTGTTGTAGATTATTATTTGACAATGTTTCTATTCTCGTTATTACGGACCTGATCCAAGGTGAAGTGAAATTTCTTGTTTATCTTAAGTAAGGTAGAACATGAATTAACACTATATAATGGAAATGCGAGAGTATAAATATATATGCTTAACAAACAGAACTATTGGAAATTGTTGTTTTATCTTAATGAATTTTGGTCTCAGTTTTGTTGATAATATTGCATGCAAGCTATCGTTTGTAAAACAAAATGAAGTAGTTATTCAAAGATAACCGTAACGGTTGGTTTACTGTTCTCTTTTGATGCGATTTGGGTGTGAAATAGAATGTTGACAATAATTATTTTATGTCCTGTTTATTGTAGAAAAGGCGTAATGTTATTATTTACAGCGTAGTTGAGATGTGTTGTATTTTCATATTCCCATAATTCTATTTTACAACTCAATTGTCAACTTCCTGTTTAATTAGTATGACAAAACATATGACATTGTTAGAATATTCAAATGAATTCACAGAGTCCATATATGTTTCTCTCACTGGTGTAGCGTAGTTTACCCGTTAGTTTATTTTGTTTATTTTTCAATTGTCAGTTAATTATTCTGTGTTATTATTATTTTTAAACTTCCTTATACGATTTTTGTCTAGATCTAGTATATTTTCCAATTTGACCGCTACACTCACATTAAAAACGATAGCATAGGCATCGGGTATATCTCCGTGGTATACTGGCGCCAATCCGCACTCACGTTTGGGTTCTACTAAAACCGCTTGGCACTGTGCACCAATCAGTACAGTCACACACAGTATATATGACAACATCCTGAATCAGAAAAAACAGCTTTGTTACAAGATTACTTATAAAATTCAAGACACTGAAAGCATGGACATTGTTTGTTTTTTTGGAATTGTATATTGTCATGTCCCGAAAACGCTCATATCTGAGAAATGGTTCTATTAACCCTCATCCTGCCAGCCTATTATACTTTAATTTACATTGACTTGACCAGATGAGGGATATATAACTAAATTCTTTAATATGCATGCGCACTGGCTGTTTTTTGTACGTACAATAACAACCACCGCGTATGCGTAGTTTTGCAAAGACAACATTTAAAATAATAATCCGATTAGGTCTCAATTATGTATCGAACAGCAGTATTGACACATATTCGTTTTAGACTTGGATTAATGCATCATGCAATGGGGATTTTCAATAACAAAGAGGAGCACATAAAACCACATGACCATTTACGCATAAATGTCTGATTTCACAAGAAAAAAATTACGTCCCAGAATTAAAGATTACGGATTACAGGCACTTCACAAATACGAGCACTTAACTAGTATATGTTTTTTTGCCTTCCCAGGTTTACATAGTAATTGCTGAAGCTAAAAACTATATTTACGTAACTTGTATCGTTATGTTCCATACCAACAATTGCGCACCGCATTGCAACTTGAAAGCTTCAATTACAATCCGGGTAATCACGTACACAGTTATCACCAAAACGTTTTTGATTACATCAAATATAAACATTACACAAATTACAATACACTCTAAATATCGTACAATACAATAAATTACACAGTTTATAAAATTGGCATGATATTGCATGATTGAATTATTATTATAATAGTGATCGCTGAGAATGTAAAAATGCAGTGACACGAGTGACCCGTGATTATAAATGCATTATATCAAGTGGTCAGTACATTACAACCACGATGGGGTTTGTCAACAATTTCCAAAAAAAACTGGTGTAATCCACTATGGGAAACTCGCCAAATGTGCGGTGTAAACCAACTGGTTTTTCAGACGCTTACCAATTAAACCAAAAATGCGGTCTTCGGAGTTTAATTTAAAATAATATGGATTAATTATACTCGTTATTTAACTCTTCGTGAATGGGTGATTTTCCGTTCAACTGCAAGATCTCGCGAGTTGCGTGAAATGACGCTCACCGAACGCCTGCCGCAACAATCGAATGATTTGATTTTGAACTCGAATTGTTTTATTTCGTAGCTCACATCGACCGGCCAATCTTCGACAGGGAAATATTGCGTTTGAATATCCTCACTTCATCCAAATTGACCATCATCAAATGTGTACAGCACACTATTAAGCATGGAAATATTCCCGAAACACTTTCGTCCTGTTTTTACGTTCAATTTCACGCATAACGCGGGATCTCGCAGTGAACGGAAAATGGTTTATTAAAACATTGGTCTCAATCTAGATTGGATATTTAGTACGTGATTATATATTTACATTGTCTCAATACATCATTTGCACACGCATGCATTCGAATGAGACGATGGTATTAATTTGCATATCAATTAGACATATATATGTTTGCAAGATGGTGCATACCGCTCAGTCAAAAAGATCCGTGAAACGGAACAATGCTTGTTAACATTTCCTAACCATATGTCCAATATTTAGTATAAGTAGACACAATGTAAAAACGCTGATCCATAAACCCGATCCTTATACGCCATATTGATATATTTTAGTAAAATCTTTAATTATATCTACAATGCCTTGCCCGAAAATATCATGTGAATAATAAGTATTGTACTTGTATATGTACTTAGCAAAGTGGGTTTGTCCTTGTCCACTAGCAATTACTGAACCGATATGTTCTTGTAGCGGATGTTTATGATATTTTAATGGAATAACTTTGTAAGGACATTCATTTTTCGTATAATCAGAAAAAAAAGCATAGTATACGATTAGTATAAATAAACTGAATACAATACAGATTTATTAAACGATAATATTAAATTTTCATACATTTTGTTGAATAATTTTATATCTTGTCTATCTCAGTATCTATTTTACAGTTTTACAACGCACAAATAATCGCAACGATTATAATTTATGAGCATTTAGTCATTTCTACATAGACTGTCCAGGCTAATTTGCATAAATGAATTTTCTACACGAGTTTAATAAATTTGATTATGTATGATGACGAATATCTTGTTTATTCTGTGTATCACAGCCTTTAAAACGCGCAAACTAACACTGGAATTGTACTTTTTCTGCATTTGTCGTGTTTATTGCGAAATATATACTGCACCACAAAACGAAATGTTTTTATATGTTAACTAAGTACTCAAACGGACAGTTGTAAACTAATTTGGTTGTCAAACCATAATTTACAATCTTTTGCGTGAATAATGGGTAAATTCCCAACTTGTATTTTAGAGAGCTGATCTATTAATTTATCAATTGACCATGGTACATATCATTCACAGTTAGTGACGTTTAGAGTGAAATATCACTATTAAGGTAGAGATGCAGTTTACCTGACAGGTATTTTAATTAGCTTAATTAATTTTAATTAGGAAACCAAGATGACCTCCCTTGTCAACAAAACTATATATTTACGGAAAGCTTATTGCATGAATTTTAAAATTTTGTTAGTATTTTTTATGGACAATGTAGTTTGAAATATGCACAATAATGTGCTTTTTTGGTCATTAAGTGATTTGAAAAAAAAATAGCTTCTAAATCATGCTTCTGTTCCCTGTCAAAATTGGTTAATGGGTACATCTGTTTACTATGAAGAAAGTGCCGTCTTGAAAACTGTCTACCAGTTGTAAATTTCACTACTTCAAGTTTATGCATAAATTCACACCCAGGCTACCCAGCTAACACTGTTCAACCAAAAACAATGCCCGACGGCGTTTTGAAGATAAACACATTGTCAATCACTTGTGAAAATTTCAAAACAAAAGGTCAAAGCGTCTAGGCGCTATTTTTTTCTGGAATGTGCACTCAAAAGAAGCTTGCTAATTTGCATAACAATTCACTCAGTAAGAAGCTTGCTAATGCTCATAATTTAAATGGCTGTAACAGTTCCAAATTTAAATCTATTATCGTTTTGTTAAAAGTTAAATATAGTGCATAATATGGAGATCCCATCATTTCTTTTTTTCACCATGTTTCTTTTTTTATTATTTTTGTACAGCCTTGCTAAATCTTGCTAAGCATTCAAATAAGAGAATGTTTTCACCTGTTATCTATATTTTAAAATCGTTTTTTTAAGTATGTTCCATTATTCAAATTCTACAAAATTTTAACAGTCTATAGGCAAGACTGTTTGGATAATAAATAGCAAAAACAAAAAAAATCATTCCCAAGTGCCCAAGAACCTGCATCTCTACCTTAAACTGATAGTTAACACTGAACGCGACATTATGCACAATGAAAAAAATATCATTGAGATCCACATACACCAAGTGAAATTAAGTAGCTCAGAACAATAAATTGAAGTTTTGTTGCTATTTGAAATCTCCCTCCCAGTGGGGGATCTAATGTAATTTCATGTATACATTCTGTAAAGTGCGATATCTACCAATGATGGAATCTCAGCATATGCTACTTGGGTGTAGGGTATAAGTATACTACATCTTTTAAAGTATTTTTTGACCATACTGCGACGCTCATCAACTTCAAATCTTCATAAAACTGTTTATACTAATCATACTCACCTTCAAGCAGAGAATATTCTACTCAAGAAACAACAATCGCACCAAGCAATTTTAAAAGTGACAGAACACGGGAATCCACTCTGCAAATGAATTTGTTTTTTTGGAAACCACGTGATCCTTGTTTCCATATGGCTGGTACATCAAAGATGCCGCCAACGTCACTGCCATAATCTGTTTCCGACTTGACATTTATTTACCGTGAACGAATTACTGGTCACGTGACCAACTGTTTTCTCGGGTGTTTACTCATGTGAATTCACACCTTGGACAGCAAATTGGATTCTAAATGGCCACATTCTCCCCACAAGTGAAATGCCATGGTGTCGAATACGCCACTTGCGGGTTTGCTTCTCTATACAAATTTAATGACTTTCGCATAACTTTACAACTTGTGTCTACAAGTGTCTTTGGTACTTCAAATTATGTCTTCGCATTTCCAAGTTGTCTTCCGACAGATGCATATTTTGGAAACTATTTTAGTGCTAAAATGCACGTTGACCAGATACGAACGAGGATGAAGGAAATAACATATTTGATCAAGAAATCGGACACAATTCTATGGCACAGACATGCGCAAAAGACTTATTGCAGGGAGGTGAGTGTTCAGGATCATCTATTTGTTTTATAATCTAAAGTTCAGTCGCGGGAATAATAATTCATTGACGATGCTGATTGAAATTACAAAATAAATATGAACAAAACGTTTATTCAGTTTTATATGAAGTAATAGCAAATATATATTCCGGACTCCTTAATTCTTGTCCCAGCCTCTCGTGACATTTCACCACCGGATCACGCTTATGACACATATATTCATTTTAATCACAATTCACGTATGTTCTAATTTGCCTTGGTATAACCGTGCCAACTAATTGAATTATACGTTAATTGTCAATACGACAACCATATACGAAAAACATTCGCTTAGATAACAAATCATTGTAAACACTGTCTGAATAAAGCAAATGCGGTTGTACATCTTCACAAAATGCTATACGAGTATCTATAAAGATAAATAGTAATTTTACGCATTGGTATAACATAAATTCAAAGGAGTAAATATAGCTGCATAGCAGCGATGACGGGTTTCGAGCCTGCGTGGCTCATGGCAAATTGCACTTGCTCGATGTGATTATTTGACGAATGTTTCATGTCTAGAATGAAAGATAGCAGACAAACTACACAACATATGGATTTGATTTCACAGGAATATGATAAACTTAATGCAAGGACAAATAGTTCATGAGTTATAGAACTTTTTCTCTTTTACTAAATCCAAGATGGCTGCCAAAGGAAGCCATTTTTCGATAATCTACTTTAGTAACTTTGTAGAGCTATCAACAGAGATACTATATGCTAAATTGCTTTTCAAACAAGGAAGCAGTTTTTAACAAGATAATTTTTTGAGGTTTTTTGAATTTTTGTGATAAATTCAACATGGCCGCCAAAACCACTTGAATCATGGGAAATATATTCATGAACACATAATCA